CTGAAATCTCAGCGATAGCTTTCTGTATCCTTCCTCTAAACCATGACACTGAACAATCTTTGTTTTCAGCTCATTTGAAAGTTGTTTTCAGACTCCCATGCTGCCACTCTTCTGAGAAGATGCAAAGAGGAGAAAAACTTATTAATGCCCCCCTTAAATACCCTTTCTCTTAATTGGAGTCACCTGTATATGGAGGTCAAGGGTCACTGAACTTACCAAACCAAATTTAAGTTCCAATAATTAGTTCTAAAGGTTTTGAAATCAATAAAATGACACCGGTGCCCAAATTTATGCACCTGCCTAATTTTGTTTAACCAATTATTGCACTTTCTTTAAATCATATAAACTTCATTTCACTTCTCAAATATCACTGTGTTTGTCCCATATATGATATATTTTACTGATTTTTTTTTATCCAAACAATCAATGATTTATAAACCAGGAAAATTATCAAGGCTGCTCAAATTTTCGCACCCCACTGTATTAGTGAATGTGAAATAACAGCCATTATCATTTTTTTTATTTCTGTAGCTATTTATTTGTTAAATTATTTTTCAGCCACTTTATAATTACACACTTTTTAAGTTAATAATTGTGATAATAATCGATATTGGACGATATGAAAAAATAAATCATGATCTTTTTTTGCCACATATTCTAGCCTTATATGGAATGAAAGAAGAAGTTGCAAAGGTTGATTTATGAGATTTGTAGTTCTCTCGGTTTCCTTCTATTAACTGGTTATCAATTTGGATGTTAAGGTTAAATAACTCATCTAACAAATCAGATTAGTCTCTGGAGGCAAGACTTTCAGTTATTCTGAGAGAGAGAACAAACATGCTTTTTAAAACATTCTCATTGCACCCAGTTTCTACCATCAAAATGCAGAAGTTTATGGAATCATCTGCAACTGAACAACTCCACCCGCCCCATGGAGTGGATGTTCATAATACTTGTGAAAATCTAAAAGGAAGTTAGTAAAGGATAGTGGTTCGAGGGAATTAGCATTTACCTCTGGGTTTCTTCTAGTGTGGCTCACCTTCAATGCCAACTTTGTTTGTCTGCTGCATGTCAAATCCTTGCTGGGGTGTAATCGCCAAGCACTTTTGAATTTGCAATTCTACATAAATTATATAGCATCTTCTAGACATGATGAACAAAAAAACTTTGCCTCCATCTCTAAGAAGGATCCCAGCTTGTTTACGCCGTGACCCGACCCCACTTCTACGGAACAAGTGCCGTGATGTGGTGATGATGACATGTATGATGCACTTTACTGGTGCTTCTCGGGCTGTGCTGAAAGGGGTATTTCATGTATTTTGTGAGCTGTGTTTAAATGTTGATTCAGTACAGAATTTTGGTCTCCTGTGGTGCATATATGGTTAGGGTTAAAGTTGGATTGGATTATATACAACTCTAACCCTCAGACCAGAACGAGACCTTAAATGGGCCAACAAAAATAGATCTTTGAACAGTCAGAAGGAAAAACAAAAGGCTATTTCTCTTTTTGTTCTAAAAAGTGGAAAGAATTGCTATAAATGAACACATTCAAGACCAAATTTATCTAACTATATCAAAATCTGTTTTTAATAAATTGAAGTTTAACCTGTTCTTGTCTATTTTTAATCAATGTTTACATGCACCTTATCAGCTTAACATGGACATCTACTACTATTCTGAAGTTGTTCAAGTGATTAACAGGCTCTTTTTATTCCTCCTGCATTAGTGTGCTTCACCCTAAGTGGATAAAAAGTGAATACTTCTCTTTCCTCGGGCAGTCTGGCCCCGTCTTACTAACAGGGGTGAAGGCCAGGGAGGGGGATGTAAGGGGACAAAGAGGAGGAGGAGATTTGAGATACTAAAATGCAGATGTAAAACCTTCCTGCATTCAAGTCTGCCATCTTGGTACCTTTGTGAAACTTGACCTAGATTGAAGAAAGGCCAAACTCAAAGAGCCTGGAGCTCCTCATTCACTTCCTGGAGAACAGATTGTTCTCTTTCACTGGCACTATTCAAGACGACTGGGAACAAAAAAAGGCTGAACTGTGGCAGTGTTCAGTCAAGAGAGGATGCATCAGCTTCTAATAGAAGATCTCGTGTATTTTTTTGTTTGTTTGACGTCAAAATATTCAGCAGTAAGGAAGAACATTAGTGTTATCCAAAGTTCACTGAATTAAAATCCATTAAACCAAAGCTTTGCAGCTGTGTCTTCAAAACATGTTTTTAAAAAGTGAAACAATAAAAAACTGTCATATCTTAACACGAACTGAGAGTTTAAGGAGAAAAAAGTCAGTAAGGATAATCCAGTAATTTGAGCTGCCAGCTGTTGAGATTTGGCACCAATCTTACGTTAAACACTGTGAAGGATTGAAGAGGAATGTTTTTGTGTCTGTTTAGTGATTACCAAGTCTACCCGGAATAGAGACCTTATGGGAACAGAAAACACTACTCACAATCATTTTCCCCGTGAGAAAAAAACATCTGTAGCGTTTCACCAGTTTTCCCTTGAGTTTCATGGTCAAATTCTAAATAAAACTATCCCACCATTAAATGTCTGTTTGTCTATAAAGATGCCACTGTCAAAACAAAACACTGAACCTGAACCACAGTCACAGTTTATGTGTCTAAATGTGTACTTAGTTTTTGTTACATTTTCAGGACCGACCGACCGACCTACTTACTTCACTGTTCACTACTGTAGCTGAACATGTTTATATAGGCATATAACCAAGAAACATTAAGGCATGTACTGGTAATGGTTAAGGTTTTGGCTATATGCTATAAAAATGAACAGAAGTCAACACAGTGTCCTAATACGATAGAAATACAAATGTGTGTGCATATGAAGTATTTATACTAGACTGAGCAAGACAAAGAAGAGAATAATTGTATCATATATCAGGGTTATTCAACATCCAGCCCGCGAGTGACCAAAGTTCGGCCCGCCAATTGGTTCATTCATCTCTTAAGCCCAAACCCCCGGTCTTCCACTTTAATCACTCTGTTATTTTATTTAGACATAGACATGTTTGGTGTCAACAGAAATGTCAATCTCGGCTATAAGCTGATAAAAACAATTTCAATGACAGTTAAAAGCAGTGGAAGATAAAACTATGAAAATAAAAATAAAATTAGTTTAAAAATTTGGCAAGTCAGAGATGTCAAAATATTATTTGTGGCAAATAGGAAGCATAATGTGTTCTTTTTTTGTTTTAATATCACTATTCTTATTATAGGGTTCTGTTGTGTTCATGATTAAATGCAGCAAACTATTTCAAAGGTAACAGATCTTTGTAATACTTGGTTTATTTACACAATGACTTTAATTTCTGGATGTTCGGCCCCTCAGCTGTTGGCCTGCAGTGACAGTGGGCCCCAGAGCAATTTAGTTGAACAGCCCTGTCATATAAGACATAATTTGCACTCTGACATATAGAACATGATGCTACTATTCTTGAAGTTGATTTTGTACCTTACTGAGCATCTTGTCTTTATATGTAAAATTACAAGCTCTAGTGCCCCAAGTCTTTTCCTGCTACACAGTTTGGGGTGCCTATTATTCTAGCTCTGAACACAGACGTCATACATTCCTGTTGTTATTTAAGCTGACCCTCAGACATATTGTTAGGGCTCAGTGACCTGTATTATACACTCGGTTCATTACTCTGTAGAATGTAAGACTTGCTACTTAAAGGAAAAGGAAGAATGAAGGTAGGCTGGATGGTGAAATCTCAAACCCACAAAAGACAAATATTGAGCTAGTATGCTGAAGCATATTAAAAAATTAAATGTTTTTGAAAATTAATAAGAGATTTTTATGTACTTCAGAATTCATACAACTAAAGATATAGAACTCCTTGAAGGAAAGCATATTGCCTGCACCTTTTATGTTAGCTCGGTGTGACCATGAAAAACAGTAATGGATAGTCCTTGAGCCATCTTAATCTTGGTCTTATCATAACTGACTTAATGGCAGCACAACGGCTCCATGGTTAGCACTGTTGTCTCAGAGTAAGAAGGTTATGGGTTTGATCCCCGGTTCAGATCTGGGGTCTTTCCATGTGGAATTTGCATGTTCTCCTAGTGTTTGCATGGGTTTTCTCTGGGTACTCTGGTTTCCTCCCACAGATCAAAAACATGTACGTTAGACTACTTTCAGATCCAGGTCTCCCTGTCAGGTTTAGTGGTGCAGAATGAACCCAGATCCGGATGGAGGATGAGTACAAATAAAAATATTTACTAAACAAAAATAAAGAGCTGACAGGGCAGCTAAATAAATCAAAACACAAAAGAGCTAAAGGGAAACACAGGGACAAGAAGACATTAGGCAAAGCCATGTAATGATCCAGCAGAGAATGAACAGGAGAGAAGAGTATTTATACACACAGAGGAAGAGAGGAGATGAACAACAGCTGAGGAAGACTAATTGGAAGCTACTGACAGGTGAGAGATAATTGAACAGGTAAACAGCAGGAAACAGACTGAGGAGAAATGATGAGCAATGACACAACTAAATACTGTATTGTCATCACACAAACAATCAAAAACAATGGGGTTTTGGTTTGTTTACCTGTTTGAATTGGGCCTTTGATTAGTGGGATGATCTGACTAACAGTCAATGATGTCCCATGAAATAACTAATTAGAACTAAATGTGCCGGAAAAATTAATATTTGAAGATACAAGAGCAAGGTAATTATGATACTGATATGATATTACATCTGGTTGCACATATCTTTGCAGAGAACATATTTCTTAACAAACAGGATACCTACATGAGGAATAAAGTTCACATGTGATAATATGGCCTCATACCAAAACACCAAGCCTTGTCTGTGTAGTTTAAGGACCTACATAAGACAGGATTTACAAGTGAAAACTTAAAAAGGAAGCAGTAACACAATACAAGTCTGTTTTTCCATTTTTAAGCTCTGAGTGCTTTTACAGAAAAACAGACTGTCTCACACAGACATGATTGCTAACAGCAGCTGGAACACTTACCACTGGAGCAGTTGGAGCCCCCCCAGCCGGGCTCACACTGACAGGTGTTGGGTGCCATACATCGGCCATGGACACAGCTCTCTGCGCAGTGGGCTGAACATGGAGAGAGAAAGTCAGGCCACATGTTCAAGAAAGAAAAAACACAAAGGAACACTGAGACTAGTTTTAGTGAATTAGTTTTCTTAAAAACATCAACAATCATAAAATGTCATGTCCTCATTTAATCTGACATCAAAAGCATAATTACCTGAGTTATTGTGTGAATGCTGAATGGTTTCCTTGTTAATTTTTTCTGTATATTTTGGAAATCCAACTACTTACTTCATGTTATTTTAACCATTCGTACATTATAACAATCGGCTCGAGTGTGACTACTGTGCTATGGCTTTTTTATTACTATTATTATTTATTCACAAAAAATCCATAGAAATAAATAGAGATGTCTTTAATTCTTTCAGAAAACATTGTTCACTGAATTCTTCTTCTTGTCTTGTTCTGTTTGTGTTGTCTTATTCTTCTTTTATCATTTAAATACTATTTTGGTCATTTTATCTTTTAGCTACAGTTTTGCTAATGATAACATTAAATTCTAGTTTTGAACATTTTAGCTCTTATCTATATTTTTGCTCATTTTAGCTTTAAGCTACTTCTGCTAATTTTACATTTTAATTACTATTTAGCTTCTGTTCTGCTTGTTTTAGGATTAGACACTATAGTTAATTCTTTCTTCTACAAATTTCAGCTGTTATTCAGCACTCCGTATCCAATGTGTGTTTTTACAGGAAATGCATGTTTTTTCTATTTATAATTTTTTTTAACTACCTAAACTTAAAAATTATGTCAGGCTTTGCTGACCAAGTGAGTTTTAAAATTTATCAAATTTGAGAAGTGGAACGAGAAGACTTTCTGTCTTGAATGTTTCTGTTTTGGTTCTAAAAGGAAAATTTCAGGATTTTTGTTATTTCTTCAAATCATTTATTTTCCACCGGACTAAGCAGAACATTGGGTCTCATGCAAAAACCGTTCGTACGCACAGATTTGTTCTTAAGTTGTGCGTACGAGTGATTTAGG